TTTTCTCTTCCCACGTGTCCCCTGAAGCCCTGGGTTCTGCCTCTGCTCCCCCATCCAGGGAGTGATGGGCTTTGAGGGTCGTTCGGAGCGGTCACCACGTGGGGCATGGGGCAAAGTGGCCCCCAAGCTGAGCTGGTGACTCCTGGGACCCCTCCAGGCCCTTTTCTCCTCTCTTCCCTCTGGATCTCCTGACTGTCTCCTCTCCAGGCAGCCCCCAAGTGGAACCCTGCTTAGCTGCTCCGGGTCAGCTGGGGTGGATGGAGAGAGAGAGAGGGAGAAGGAAAGAGAGAGATACAAAGAGATAGAAAGAGAGATAGAGAGGGAGAAGGAAAGAGAAAGAGAGAGAGAGAGAGAGAGAGAGAGAGAGAGAGAGAGAGAGAGAGAGAGGGAGAGAGAGAGAGAGAGAGAGAGAGAGAGAGAGAGAGAGAGAGAGAGAGAGAGGGAGAAGGAGAGAGAGAGAAAGAGAGAGAGATAGAAAGAGAAAGAGATAGAAAGAGAGAGAGAGAAGGAGAGAGAGAGAGAGAGGGAGAAGGAAAGAGAGAGATAGAAAGAGATTGAAAGAGAGATAGAGAGGGAGAAGGAGAGAGAGAGAAAGAGAGAGAGAGATAGATAGAAAGAGAAAGAGAGAGAAAGAGAGAGAGAGAGAGAGAGAGAGAGAGAGAGAGAGAGAGAGAGAGAGGCAGGATATATTTGCTCTGCCCTTTTAAACCTACCCACTTTTCTGTCTGTGTAGCCAGAGCCCCCTCCTCAATTGGCTAACGTGACCTCCTTGTCTTTCCAGCAATGCACCACGGAGTGGAGCGATGGCTCCAGCATCATTTACGTAAACTGGAATAAAGGAGAATCCCAAATGTGTCAAGGGTTGTCTAGATGGACAAGTAAGTCAATGTGGTGTGGTGCACATGGTGTTAGGTCAAGGACGGTGCCCTTCCCTCCATGAGGACCCAGAGGATCCTTCTTGCAACCCCCCCCCCTTGGCCACTGGGGACCTTTCTTGACCTCCTGGATCTCTGAGCTGCCTCAGTCCCACACTCTGCACAGACAAGGGAACACAACACAACCATGGGAGAAACCGTTAAAAGCGGGACTGGAGCTCTAAATGAAAATTATTACGGGGCCCTCAGCTCACAATGCAACTAACAAGCTCCATCTTAACCTTGTTCCGAAAGGCCATCATTGTCTCAGGGCATCTGGCTTTTCCCCCCTGGTTTGCTTGCTCAGATGTAGATCAATCTTCAACACCCCATTGCGGTGAGAAGAACCTCGGCCACATTTTGTGTATGTGTCTCTGTGTGTTGCAGAGAAATATTAACACATGGTTCGTTGAATTATAAACCAATCAAAAGAGCAATTCGGTCTCTGGTGGAGGCACCAGGCTAGAAACAGGAGACGGGGAGTTCTAGTCCCACCTTAGGCGCTAAAGCCGACTGGGTGACTTTGGACCAGCCCCTCCCTTTCTCTGCCCAACCCACCTCACAGGGTTGTTGTTGTGGGGAAAAGAGGAGGAGGAAGGTGTGTTGGATATATTTGCTGCCTTGGGTGAGTTGTAAAGTAAAGAGGTGGGATAAATATAAATAAATACAAATTAAATTAAAAAACATTCAAAAGAAATGAAAGAAACTTGAGGGTCAGGTAGGTTATCTGGGTTAGAAGAACCTGTTGAACCCCCAGCCTGTTTTAGGGGATGAGAGTCTCCACCTGTGGTATCTTCATGTCCTCCTGCAAATGAGCCAGGAGCCTCTGAAAAGATCTTCTGGGACTCTCAGGGAATCTCTGCAGAAAGTGATCACAATTTCTCTTTTGCTGCCCAGAGTTTCTTCAGTGGTACAATATTGACTGCCAAGCAAAATACCCTTTCATCTGCAAGTTCCCGCCAGAGTGTTAAGATGCAGCTGTGTGAAGTCTGGAGAAGCAAGGAAGCCCCCCACCCCACCCCCCCACCCTTCGCTCAATGGATGCTCTCTGTAGCTGGATCTGGTTTTGCTGCTCCTGATGGGCCAGAAGGTCCAATAAATTCTGCCTATCATGACTGGCCTTGTTTCTTTGGGGCCCCCAGGAGACGGTTGAGGCCCAAAGCTCAAGACCCCCCAGTCCCCTTCGTGGCAGGGCTCGGCTTTAGGGGGGAGGGTGGCTCTTAGGGGGGACCACCCACTGAGGCTCAGATGCTCTCCTCCCGTCCCCCTCACTGGAACCGAAGAGGGTGGAATCTGCTGGGCTTCAGCACCCCTTCCCTGCCCCCACAGCCGATTGGCACCCCCCCTCTGGGCAAGATGGCGGCATCCCGCTAAAGAAGGCACGGGGGTGGCAGGGTGGGCTGGCTCCAGGAAGCGCTTTCCGGTTGTTGAGTTTCCCAACTAGCAACTAAACCCCCTACTCTGGAAATTTGGGGATCCCTCTCAGGAGGCCCGAAATAGTTTTAAGAAGAGATTGGACAACTATTTGTCTGGAATGCTATGGAGTTTCCTGCTTGAGCAGGGAGGGTGTTGGACTAGAAGACCTCCAAGGTCCCTTCCAATTTTGTTGTTCTATCTGTGGGATTCGTCGTCTAGTTGAAATCAATAATCACCTGCCAAAAACTTCCAAGAGAAAAGAATGGTGATTTATTTGTTCTTATTTGTACTCAGGGTGTTCCTCAGGCACGCAGGCAGAGCGGACACATCCTAAATAATCAATAATCAATA